ATAAAAGAAGGAAAAAAGAAACAGAAGTCCAGAAAGTATGCTAGAGAAAGGGAGTATATAATTTTAAACAACATATGTTATGCAATGGGATTTGACGACCAGGAGAGGCACAAGAGTGGGAGCAGTAGTTTTAGTAGAAAACAGTAGTTTTCTGGACTCTTCTCTCATTCTGGGTATGAGCTTGGAAGAATCATTTCATATTTGTTGCTTCCTATCTTCGAAAACCATTTTTGAGAAGAGAAGATAGGAAGCAGAGTAGGCAAAATGGGAAAGGTATTATCACTGCTACATGCACCTGGGGGTAGACTTCCACACCTCACACTGTTTTTCAGCGCCTACACTGTTACTTCTAAGTGCTGTAAGACTGCCAGCTTGCTGGCAGGTCACTTGTGTTTGGGGAAGACACTCTCATTAGTCTGGTTAGGCCTCTGTGCATTCTGGCCTTCAACAGTTGTTTCAGGATAAAACATCTTGGTCCTCAACATTGTGTCCAATCTGAATGTCCAGTACTTTGAAAGAAAGAAGGAGCAGAGTGCAATTCCAGTTCAGTTTTAAGTCTAAAAGGTAAATGAGTAGACAGGTAGAAGGCAGACTCACAGAATGAAAGGGACTAGGAGAGGAAGTACATATGTGGGTCTGAAGCAAGGCTCTGCAACTTCTCCCAGTTATTTAATCTTCTACTTTATTTTCCCTATCTGGAAAACAGGTATGCAATTTGTAACAGCTTTGAGATTTGCAGGAAGTTTAAAAGAAAATAATGTATATAAAGTACTGAGCATACTACTTGGCACATCTTAACAAACTAAATAATGATAACAATTATTAAGATCCAAATTGAATTTTTTCTTTTATTTCTTCTTTTCAGTAGATTGATCATTATGGTAACCTTTAAATCAAGATCAACTAATTATAAGGGTTTTTTTCTCAAAAATATATGTAAAACTTCCTTTTAAGAATTTCAGGTTAGGGGTGCCTCAGTGGCTCAGTGGGTTAAAGCCTCCGCCATCAGCTCAGGTCATGATCCCAGGATCCTGGGATCAAGCCCCGCATAGGACTCTCTGTTCAGCAGGGAGCCTGCCTCCCTTCCTCTCTCTCTGTCTGCCTCTCTGCCTACTTGTGATCTCTGTCTGTAAAATAAATAATAAATAAAATCTTTAAAAAAAATAATTTCAGCTTAGAGACTCAGAATCATATTGCCATAGATAGGTTTTCCTTTCATTTTTTTTTTTTTTTAAGATGTATTTATTTGTCTTAGAGAGAGAGAGGAAAGGGGTAGAGGAAGAGAATCTCAAGCAGAGTTCCCATAGCACAGAGCCCAACACAGGGCTCCATTCAGGACCCTGAGATCATGACCTGAGCTGAAATCAAGAGTCAGCCACTTAACTGACTGAGCCACCCAGGTATCCTCTCTTTTTCTTTTTAAATGGAGAAAAGTAAATTATATACCAAATAGGTTCAGAAGCTGAAGACTGGAGGGAAAAAACAGCTCCAAACCTAAATTTAAACTAAGGGTAACTGTGTTGAAAGATATCTAGGCTGTGAATATGTTAGGAAAGTATAGATTTTTTCTCATTTGATAATTATTTTGGTTATCTAGAAAAAAAAATGCTTGTAACTGCAAAATTTTCAATTTCATGGAAGGATGAACATTCTCCACCCCCCCCCAACGTAAATATTATCTCAGTTTGAAGACAGGGAGAAGAGAAACAAAGGACAACAGACGTTTTCATTCAACAGTACATATCAAGTGGCCACTATGAATCAGGCACATATTAATCCAGTCAAAGCATCACCAAGGTACTGCCAAAAGCAAGATATTCCAGATGTCCTAGTGCAGGAGGTAGCAGGGTCTGGATTATAGAGATACAGAAGGTTGCTGTGATAGGAAACCCAGGTGGGAGGCAGGAAATGCTTTGATAAAGGTTTAAGGAAGTGTCAACCACAAAGCCCTGGCCATTTTAAGAGGAGGACTCTTGCCCACTAATCCTAGAATTCATCTCTTCTCCAGCACAGGGGCTCATGCATAGGCCTTCCACATCTGGTCTCAAGCTCTACTGCCTTTCAGCCATGACCTCTACTTTTGTGAGAGGCCATAGAAGCATCCAGGCAGAAGGGAACAGCTGGGCAGAGAAGAGCAGGCTCTGCTTGGGAGAGCACCTAGAGAACTGGGTTGCAGTGAATGTTGTCAATGCAGTGCAAAGTGTGGTTGGGCCTTGTAACAGAATCGGGGAACTTGGTTAAATGCAGATTCCCTTAGACCCACAAAACAAAATCCTGGACATGCATGAAGTCTAGGTGCTCACAGCTCTGAAACCTTTGTTCCCTTCGCTTTTTAGAGGAAGGGTTAAAATAAAGTACACAAAAATAGCAGATCTAAACACTTGCTTTTTTAGATGCAGTGTACCTAATTCGTGATCTACCCCTATGGCCTCATTTTTAGAAAGGGCAAAATTCACATTGGTCTTTGAAAGAAACATTTTCAACAGGTCTTTTTATCTTCTAATTATTTTTGCCATTTGTACTTTTCTTGCCTTCCAATGAGAAGATACTTGTAAACTACAGATAATCCCGTTCCTGAAAATGATGGCTAAATGCAGTCAAATGGGTTGCGTTCAAGGTCTTGCTCCATCTCTTATTAGCCATGAAACTTGGGCAGGTTCCTTTACCCCACAGTTTCTCTGCTTCCAAATTTCTCTGACACAGAATACCTTCTAAATTGAATATTAAATGAAGTTTTAGGTGTAAAGCCCTGAGGATGGCCCACAGGTGCTCAACAAGTTCCTGGAACGCCCATAAACCTTATGCAAATGCACTACCAATCTCGTTCCTTACCATGATAGTCTATATATCCTTTCTCAAACATTCTAATTCTCTCTTCCCTTTGTTGATAATGCCTGTCTCCTCCTTACTCAACCATGGAGGTAAAGTCCACTTTTTAAAGATCCAATCGAAATGACACCTCTCTTCTGGGCTTCTCTCCTAGTTCCCCTGATCGGGTGGTCCACCATTCATGTCAGGACATACTTCTCTCATAATAGAAGTAGGGCTGAACCATAATTATGTACTTGCCAGTCATGCCCACTTAGATTGTGGGAAATATAGTCATTCTTATACCCTGAGCACTTAGCTTGGTGCCTGGCACATAATAGGTGATCAAACCATAAATACACACATATGTAATTTTTCTGAATGCCTGGACAGAACGGCGGATTCGGATCGGACAGGAATGCACGTGCTTTTGGGGGTTATGGGCCTGTGAGTATTGTGTGGTCGTCCTAGCGTCACCCCCATCTCACCACACTGCCAGGCCAGGCACTGAGGGATAATGGCTTCCGTCTAAGGTCCAGTCTGTTTTCTCCGCTTTGGGACACGGCTCCGCTGGGCACCGGCAGGGGGCGGAGTTGCTACGCAGCTGGAGACTCGGCGGGTAACCGTCCTTCCCCGCCCCCTACTTGCGCGCCCCCGCCCCACCCGCTCTCCCAAGGGCGCGCAGCTTTGATAACTAGGATGGAGCTCCCTCAATTCTCGCGGGACGGACTGTTTCTTCCTCCCAGGCTGGGCGGCTGGGGTTTTGCAGGGCCCTGGGAGAGCGTCTTCAACTTCTCTGGCGGGTGTGCTCCCCTTTGCCCCACGTCAGGGAGTTACTCAGTTTGGAAAAAGCAGCCTGCGGCCGGAATAGATGGCCGGAAGAAAGGCGGCGGGAGGGGGGGGCGGGGAGCTTTCTAGCAAACAGGGTGGTGCGAGCGGGAGCGTGTGTGGGGGTAACCATCTTTTCTCACTGCCCAAGTGACTGAACTTGGGTAGAAAAACTCTTATCTTTTAGACTCGTCCTTTCATGTTTCGTGGAAAACTAGATAATTTCACACTGACATCTATATTTACTTGAGAAAGGCAAACCTTGGCGTGGGATGAACGCGCTTCGCTTCCTCTGTCCCAGACAGAACGCGCCGCGGTACGTCCGGGCCCGCGCAGCAGTGCTTAGCGCGACAGAGGCCGCGCGCTCCCCACGCCCTACCTCGGGCCGGAGTCGCTCTTGCTTGGCCTTTGGCCGCTCGCCTGCCCAGCCGCCCGAAACGCCGGGTCGTCCGCTCCGTGACGCGCGCTGGCCGACGTCGCGCTCCCGGACGCCTGGAGCTGCTCGTGCGCACGAGTTGGACGCACGCTCGCGGCCCCGCCCCCGCGTCTCCGCGGGTTCGCCTGGAGCTCCCCAGCACTTCCCACTTCCAGAGGTTTCGAGAATCGAAACACAGCAAGCTCTTCCCCTCACTTGCGGATATTAATATGCATGGACAAGTGGACTCTTTAGTTCACACCAGAAGCGGTTTTGTTGCTTAAGAAAACGATCTAGCTTTATACCGATATGCTGTTTTAAACGGGAGGTCCTGAGGAATCTCTTGAGCCCCGTCATTAAGCTAAAACGACACCTTTAATCTGGAGAGAATTTTATGTTTGGCGACTTTCTGCAGTTGTGCTATTTCAGCCGTGGCTCAGTTTTTAGGGCCACTTATAACTCTTGAGGTATTTTAAGTGTCTTTTTGTTGGATTAAAAGGAAAAAAGAGGCTTGGAAGCGGAAGGCCGTCCCTAAATTAAATATATGTGCAAACACACACACACATACATGTACATACAAACATCTACTGGTCTCGCACTCTACGGACTGCTAGGCCAGCCGCGCAGCACAGCCCGTAGGCCCGCGGGGCGGGGGGGGGGGGGCGGTGCCCTATGCAGATGAAGAGGGTGTGGCGAGTGAGCTGCGCCCGGGCCCCGGAAGAGCGGAAAGGCCCGGTATAAAAAAAGTACTGAAGACATTTCCCCCGCACAATTGCTAAAGCTCCAGAGACGGTAGCGTGTGCTGCGGCGGCAGCTGGAGGCACCACCTCCGGGACCACCGCAGCTGAGGCGACAGCAGCGCGGGCGGGGGCGAGGGGCGGGAGTGGCCAGCGCAGGCGGTGGGGTCTAGGAAGGACTAAGTCGCTCGCCGCTCCCGAGAGCGCACTCGCACTCCTAGAAGTGTTGCCGCCTCGCGGTTCCTCGCTCGCTGCGCTCTTCGAAGGGGCGGCCGCCTCCAGGTGACACAGACGGGACTCCCGCTTACGCTTTCCAGATGCATCAGAGATACTTTTGGTGCGGGGCTTCTCTGCGGGACGCGGGGCGCGGCTGGGAACTGTGGGGGTCTGGGGAGGGAGAGTCTCCGAGGAGCCCTCGAGCTTACGGACGAACCGGGGAGGGGGCGCGCTCTTTACGGGTCCCTGTCCGCCGCGGCGCGTCCTCACCGCGCTCCCCCCCTCTTTGGCTTTTAGGACTGACCAGGGCCAGGTGGCGTTCGGAGGGCACTTCATGGCGGAAGGCGAAGGGTACTTTGCCATGGCCGAGGACGAGCTAGCCGGCGGCGCTTACATCCCCTTGGGCGGCGACTTCGGCGGCGGCGGCGGCGGCGACTTCGGCGGGCACTGCTTGGACTATTGCGAAAGCCCCACGGCGCACTGCAATGTGCTGAACTGGGAGCAAGTGCAGCGGCTGGACGGCATCCTGAGCGAGACCATCCCGATCCACGGGCGCGGCAACTTCCCCACGCTCGAGCTGCAGCCGAGCCTGATCGTGAAGGTGGTGCGGCGGCGCCTGGCCGAGAAGCGTATCGGCGTCCGCGACGTGCGCCTCAACGGTTCCGCGGCCAGCCACGTTCTGCACCAGGACAGCGGCCTGGGTTACAAGGACCTGGACCTCATCTTCTGCGCCGACCTGCGCGGAGAAGAGGAGTTTCAGACTGTGAAGGACGTCGTGCTGGACTGCCTGTTGGACTTCTTACCCGAAGGGGTGAACAAAGAGAAGATTACGCCACTCACGCTCAAGGTAAAGCCCCCCGCAATGGGCTTGGGTCCGCGCCCGGGGCCGGGCTGGGGTGCGGCGGGCCAAGGGGCGTCAGTTTGATGCCGTAGACCTGCGGCCGTGACGGGTTTGGGCATGCTTCTATATTTGGGTTTTTTTTTTTTTAATTTAAAAAAAATTTTTTTAATGAGTCAACGAAGGTGCGTGGACGGTGTTGAGTGTTTTAAGTTCACTTGGTTCTTCAGCGCCACTACTCTTCTGCTTTCTCCTCTGTTCTCCCGTCTCTTTCGTATTTTTTTTTTTAAACTCTTTGGCTTTTCTTGCTTGCGTCTTGTCCAGAGTGGATTCTGATTAAGTGGAAGAATGAAATGATGTGTATCGTTTTTTGAGTCATTTTATGGTCTAGCTTTTTGGAGAAAGAGCAGCCTGAATCAGGATCCAGTCAATGGGCTTATTACTGTATTGGATAGTGTGATTAGGTTTCTCAGCTACATGGCATTGACTCCGTGTGTGAAGTATATATGTGGTGCTTCTCCTGGTCGGCTCACGTGTGAAGGATATTGTGGTACTCCCCCCCCACCCCCAACACACACACTTGGCTCAAAGCGTGTTTTATACAATTAAAATTGTCTGAGGAATCAGTCTCCCAGAATATCCTAATTTATTTAGTTCATCCTTGATTGTAATTGCAGAGTACTCCTGGAGGGACAAGATTCTAATCTCATCAGTTGCCTCAGGGGAGGTGGAACTGGGTGAGGAGGGACAAGGGTGAGAAGCGGACCAACTTTCCCCTGTATACCTTTCTGTCTTCTGAGTATTGTGTGGATATTGTGTGAATATTCTACCTATAAGACCATTTAAAAAAATAACATTTCAAAAGTCAGACATGACAACAGAACGTCTTAGTAGTGTGCTATGTCTGCCAAAAGCCTCAAACTATTACTTCTAGTCTCTTTCCCAGACGCTAAAACCACTCGTTAAATGCATTTTTTTTTTTCTGTTTTCAGAGGACTGTTTGAGACTGTAGGTAGTGTTTTGCTGAAACTTGACAAAACAAAAGGGAAGGAACAAAATAATTCTCAACTGTGAAGAAGATGTATTTATTTATTTATTTATTATTTTTTTCTAGGTTTGCTCATCTTCTTGTTTTATCTTTTAAATTGTAGGAAGCTTATGTGCAGAAAATGGTTAAAGTGTGCAATGACTCTGACCGATGGAGTCTTATATCCTTGTCAAACAACAGTGGCAAAAATGTGGAACTGAAATTTGTGGATTCCCTCCGGAGGCAGTTTGAATTTAGTGTAGATTCTTTTCAAATCAAATTAGACTCTCTTCTCCTCTTTTATGAATGTTCAGAGAACCCAATGACTGAAACATTTCACCCCACAATAATTGGTGAGAGCGTCTATGGTGATTTCCACGAAGCCTTTGATCACCTTTGTAACAAGATTATTGCCACCAGGAACCCGGAGGAAATCAGAGGGGGCGGCCTACTTAAGTACTGCAACCTATTAGTGAGGGGCTTTAGGCCCGCCTCTGATGAGATCAAGACCCTTCAGAGGTATATGTGTTCCAGGTTTTTTATCGACTTCTCAGACATTGGAGAGCAGCAGAGAAAACTGGAATCCTATTTGCAGAACCACTTCGTGGGATTGGAAGACCGCAAGTATGACTATCTCATGACCCTTCATGGAGTGGTGAATGAGAGTACAGTGTGCCTGATGGGACATGAAAGAAGACAGACTTTAAACCTTATCACAATGTTGGCTATCCGGGTGCTAGCTGACCAAAATGTCATCCCTAACGTGGCTAATGTCACTTGCTATTACCAGCCGGCCCCCTATGTAGCAGATGCCAACTTCAGCAATTACTACATTGCACAGGTCCAGCCAATATTCACATGCCAGCAACAGACATACTCCACTTGGCTACCCTGCAATTAAGAATCATTTAAAAATGTCCTGAGGGGAAGCCATTTCAAACAGGATAGGGTAAATAAGTAAATAACAAAGGCTGAGTGACCCAGGCCCAATTAAAGATATGCTTTGTGCAATGAAGATCTGCTCCTGGTTTTAAGCTTGGCAAAGCTTGTGGATCTTTTCATAGGTATGGGATCATGATCTCAAAACATCCCTCCTTACCCACCAACCCTCTCATCTGTTCCTCCAACCTAGTTGGATTCTATCCTGAAACAAAAGAGACCTGTCGTTCAAAACAACCAGGTTCTCCTAAAATAACAAGGGAAAAAAAATGCTTGATGACAATATGGGTTTGCAGTACCTGCTCCCATAGCTTTGCCATAGGAAAAAAAAAAAGTTTCTTATAAGGTGGAATTTACAAAAGGGAAAATACAGAAAAAAAGATATTACCCCAACCTAATTATCAATTCAGAAGTTCAGATAGTAACAATAATGGAAAGAAAGGGACTCCAAAGTTGGGATTACTATCTGAGACTTGCAGCAAGTGCTGTCTGTCAAACTATCCTATTACGCTAACAGAAACAGCTTGCTCCAAATGAACAGTAGTAGGTTGGTGCAGTTCTCACAGCAAACAGCAGAACTTAATGACACAATCCATTATTTCCAGCTGTGTACATAGCTTGCATTTTTAAAATATGAAAATGCAAGCAAAAACAGCTATAGCAAAGAAAGTATGCTCAAGGACCAAAGATTTAACAGATAAAAATACCCAAGTAGAAGAGATATAGTAGAATATATAAAGAGTTAACTATATTTGTTACACACCAATAAACATCAAAGTGCCTGTTGCCTTCTGAAAATTTAAAGTGGAAAAATTTTATGGTTTAATGATGATTTTATTTTATCAGGGACTCAAGAGGAAAATAAAACAACATATAAGCTTGTGAATGGTGGAGGAAATGCCCTATTTTTTTCTTGGCAAATACTTGTATAAAGTTAACATTGTTGGTGTAATATTATTATAGGTACATGTGTATGTGTGTGTACATGATGTGCATATAGATATACATATTTGGGATATGTATATCTATATACACATAATACATTGACTATGGTCTAGAATAATGTAGCAAATAGAAAATGTTTAAATACTGTGTGCTTTTATGTTTTCAACAGGATGACATGAGACGTGGGCATATTGCAGTGATGAGTTAAAACCCACATCTAAAAAATTAAAGCAAATGAAGGAGGAAATTAATATATATGATAGGAAGAGCAGAGATTATACATTTTTAGTGAGTTTTTTTTTTCCTTTTTTTTTTTTGTGAGCCATAGAATTCTACAAATGGGAGAATATTTGTTTGGCAGAGCACTCTTTTTGTACTGAACTGCCATTTTGACAGTAGGAACCCTTTTATTTTGTGTAGTACTTGCATGCCTCTATGGTGTATAATCCAGTGGATCATGTAACAGTCCATTTAAATCCCTGACTGCTAATAAAATTTCTGGTGATTTGAACACTACTTATTAATATTTAAATGAATTTTTTAATGAATGCATTCTGCATTCCAGGACCACTAGAATTTAGTAAATGTGAAATGACCCTTTTTAAAGAGTATTTGCACAATTGCTTAAAATTTATATATGAGATATATATTATATATACAATTTTATAAATTCATACCAATATGAAACACATTAGATCTGGTTGTCACACTGCATTTAAATACTTAGTACTGTACTTTAAATTCAGTCACTTTGCATTGAATCAGATCCAACTCTATTATCTCTTTTCCAAGAGACCAGTTAAATTTTTGTGAAATGAACTGGCATTACCATTTCAGTTCAGTGACGGCTAATTCTAAAACTGTTCCTTTTCCCAGCTCTGAATTCCTTTGTACACTGGTCTCTGAAAATGCGTTTATTAAAAACAAAACTAACACATGCAAAACTTTCTTTGTATTGTGAAATAGCCACATAATTCCTACCGACTCTAGTGGATGACTGCTTACTATGATAATTCCTCTGAAGAACCTACCAGATTTTTGTCATCAAATTCAAGAGGGACTGAGGAAGAAAATGGCATCATCCTATTGGCAGTGTCATGTGTTTGCTATCTAAGCATCACCCAGATGCTCAATTGTAGGGTTAATCTATCGGAAACTACCTTTTGCACATCTTTCTTTGAAGCCTTAACATGAACTTGATGGGTTTGCTGTGGCAGCTTCCCTGTGAATTCTGTCTGAGCTGTAACAGCTACTGCACTGCCAGTCACTGTTTCCTAGGGAACTCTTTTCTCCCATGTTGGCTCATCCTCCCTCACTCCAGCCCTGGGTTTGAAAATTAATTGTGAATCCCCCAGAAATTATTCCATTTGCAGATTAAGCCTCATACTTAACTATCAGAAGCCACAACTCCACCTGTTTACCTGTTTGGAGTTTCCTAAAAGAAAACTAAGGGAACACTTGGGAACATAGGAGCAGATGGTGATCTGCTTTCTTCCTTCTCATTCTAACTCTTTGACAAGTGAGTCGTCCACTATGTTAACAAGAATCTGGAGATCTCTGGCTCTGCCATAGCAACAATCTGCTGTTAATTTATGACACGGATTTTTGTTTAGGGCCTTATTTGAAAATATACTTTCCATTTTCTGAAATATTTATGTTCTTTTCCTGCTTATTCCAGGGTTGGTAGCATAATTGGAAGTGCCAACACCTGGCATTCAGATAGAACAGGCTGTGCTCAAGACAACCTTCAGCAGTACTTTAAAACTTAAACATAATTTATTTCTCTTTTGTACGTACTATAGTCTTGTGCATATGTAGTTGAACAAACAGTGGAATATATGTCTCTCTTTGTGGATGTGTAACCTAAAAGTTTGAATGTCTGGTGAGAGAGAGCCGTGTGTATAAGTCAGAGAAAGAACAGCTCTCAACTCCTGATTAGTGCCTGTGATTTGCTTACTTTTGTGTTTATCTGGCCTAGCGTGCTGTTAACTTTAAAGCAGGAAGAAGTTTTATCTTCTGGAGGCGCTTCTCACCTGTCTAGTTTGGCATGTCAGAGAACATTTGACCTGTGACAGTGCCCTTTAAAAAAGTTGATATGCAGTAATTCTGGTTGCCTCAAGGAGTCCTACATTGAGATGGACTTTTTCCTTCTTGAAGTGTGATCAAGTAGCTGCTCCCTTTGGTAGTGGGTGGACTATTTTAATGTGGCTCCAAACGATCCTAGGATGGAAGAATATCTGTAAGCCAAGCCATGGAAGAAACTTAAAAAAAAAAAAAGTGAACATCCTATTTTTGCCAGCCCTTTCTGTTAGCTTATCGTTGGTTGCTTTACTGTGCATAAAGTTGTTTTCAATGCAGTGCTTGTCAAATAAATATTGTGAACTATTTTGTAAATGAAATGTAATATGTTGAAAGTTGTCAGCAGTTCAAAAATAAGCTTTTTCTGTTGTTTAAAGACGGTGTATTAGATGAAACCAAAAACTAAAAAAAAAAAAATATATAGCACCTATTTAAATATAATCTTAAGATTTCTCATAGCATAGCCTTTTCAGTGCCAAGAAAGCATCTCTATGTAATATTTTGTTGTAATAATGGCTTGCTAACAAAATACATGAAAAAAGTACAAAGTTGGAAGATGTCAAGGTAACTTGGCAAAATTTGCTGCAAAGACTTGCAGAATGGAGGAGGCTCTGCCCACTGGCTCTCTCTCTCTCTTCAACCTCTCTACAACCATTGCCTGCTCTGAGATGTCCTATTGCAGCAAGCTGCACCTTGGGTCACTCTTTTGGAATTTTTTGACTTTAGACTGTGTCACAGGCAGAAAAGGAGTTGATGGAGAACGAACTTCTAAAAAACTGACATGTTTGAATCAGTGCTGGAGGGAACAGATTGTGAATTTTGTTTACAGCATCCAATATTTGGATTTTTTTTTCTTGTAAATAAAAAGAAGTTATTTTTTTCTATTGAGTTGTGTCTTTTATCTTCGGCGTCTGTTCTGGCTAAAGACTGTGTCCTCTGAATCCCAGCTTGAGTCCATGAGAAAAGAGAAGGCAATATTTGGGGAAAAAATAGCCTTTGCACATTTTTAATTACAGTAACATTAAAATGTTCAGCTTTCAGCCAGCCTATCTCTCACTAGCTCAATTAGCTCCAAAACAGTCTAGCTAACGGGTGCCAAACTTTTTTATCTGGGTATGAACTTAGTGTTAACTAACCCGGAAGTCAGACGAGTTTTCTACCATCAGTAGAGACTCACAGCTCTGGATTACAGGGCTCCAGTAACCTTAAATGGGCCTTGGTTTTCATGAGTAGCCCAAGTGCTGTGATAAAGTCATCAGTGGTTGTTTATGGTTTGAGGCTCTATAATATTGTCCAGAAGTGTTTACATTCTGAATTGAGAGAAGGGGAATAAGAATTGGAAGCTGGTAATTGGAAGGGGAAGTGTTAGAGTTTGTGTGCATGTGAGTGTTGGGTGCAAAGAAACTGCCCCTTTGACTGATACTCAACATAATCTCACCAGTTTGGATCACCAGGGACATACGTTTATTTATTATATTTTTTTTCTTCATGTAATTTTGGAGATTTTCTCCATTAGTAGCATGAGAATTTGGTAAGCCTGGGCTATTATAGGACATACTTGTGATTTTTAAAGCCATTTAAAGTCCTGATATTGGATAAATGCATGCTTGCACTGCATCTGTGAAAGAGCCACTCCTGGTATTAAAATGCAGTTTCCCTCACATATATATCATAAAAAATACAAGGCGGTTATTTGATTTGATAATGTGTCATTCTCTTTATTTCAACCTCTTCATCCTTCTGTAACTAGTCTCTCACATGTCTGTGGTCATCATATAATTCTTTCTAAGCAAGGGTTGAATAAGGACAGTATATATTAAACTCTTCCTAGACTTAGATACACCCTGCTATTTCTAGTTGAATTACCAGGCTGCACCTAGCTAAGCCTGGGTAGAAGTAACCCACCCCTTTTTTCCTTAGGAAGCTCATTCTCTAACCATTTTGTTCCTTTCAGAAGAAAAACAAAAATACCCAAAAAAGCAAAAAAAAAAAAAAAAAACAAGGAAATTAAAATCAGCCATTTATACATATGAAGTAAAATAAGAACTGTTAAAATCATCAAATACTTCAGAAATTTAACTAATTTCCTTTTTGAACCAAGTTTGGAATAAACGATATGAATGTTCTTCAGTCTAATGCCAATTACATTCAGTTAGGAGGTGAAGAAGAGAAAATGATTTTAAAATGACAGAGGCTAAAAAGTTCTTTTGTGGAAAAAAAAAAATGACAGTGGCTTTCACCTATCAAGGCCCAGTTTTTGCCTTCTAATGCTGTGCTCCAAAAAAAGAACTGAATCTCCTTGGACAAATCTAGGGCTGGGGCAAGGAAGATACCAAAGAAAGCTGGAGAATCCATCTTGCAGTTCCAGAAAGCAATGATGTGCTTAAAAAAAAAAAAAAATTTAAAAACCACAATGATTCAGGGCATGTCAAAACAGCACAAGAGCCAACTGAAGAGTTTTAGTGGCCAAAACTGGAACAATTTGACGAACAAAATAAATAAGTAGTATTGGATTATAACCCAAAGTATAAAGTATCCATGAGTTCACACAGACAAGTAGATGATTGAATGGATAAATGGGGCAAAAAGACAAATATCCTGTGTAGAATTCCAAATAATCTGTGTAGATACTGCCCCCTCAAGGAGATGGAGCTTAAGTCCCTCCTCTTAAGTGAGGCTGTACATAGTGATTTTCCTGCAAAGTGTACAGTATGGAAAAAGATGAAGATACTATGCTTTGCTATGTGATAAAAATGGCACTTCATCTCTGTGGTCTTCCTCCCAAAAAAACCATAACCTCTGTCTAATTATGAGAAAAGCAGAAGAGAAATATAAGTTGAGGGGTATTCCATAATATATCAGACTAGTACTCTTTGAATCATCGAAACAAGGAAAATCTGAAAACTCCCAAAGCCAGGAGAAGACTGAGACATGGCAACTAAATGTAATGTGGTATTCTGGAGGGGATCCTGGGACAGAAAAGGACATT